AACAGACTTCTTTTGGTTTAAAATTAGCGTTGAAAATTGAAATTTTTAATTTTTTATGTAATTGAATTCGTGTAAAGGACTTTTCTTCTAACAGACTTGCCCCTTGCACAAATCAAGTCCGTTAGACGGGGGTTGACTGTATTATAAACGCCCGTAATGTATATTGACTGATATCAGTCAGTATACATTACAGGCGTTTTCCTCTCGCGGCGGCATTTTTCCATCGCATCATTTTCCGCTGACATTGAGTTTTATTTTTCTATTTTTTTGCTTGGAGGTTCCTCCCGGAGTCCCCGAGGTGGTTGTTGGCCAAGGGTCGACTGGAGGAAGCTGCGCATGTCCTGCGAACCCTGGCACGCGTAAATGGGAAAGTCTTGCCGAAACAGTTCTATCAGGAATTGCGGGTACGTGATATATGGATAGAACTCGGTCTGAACTGTTTTACGTGGGCGGCAATCAAAGAATATCTTTACTTATTGGGGTTATCCCGGGGCGATATGTGTATATATAGGAGCGCTTGCTGCTGCAGAAGATGATGGCGCAGCAACACAGGGAGAAAGAGGAGCCGAAGGCGGGATTCATGGATCTATTCCTGACCCCGAACATGCGAAAGAAGACGCTTCTCGTGACTTTTAATTGGTGAGTTTGATCCAGTATTGCTGCATATCAGCAGAGACTCAATTATCTTGAAACAATAAAGAACGTATGTCGCTGTTGATACCTGCTTACGCAAAATATATATTCACAAACATAAGGTTTTACTGCTTATTCATGATTTTAAATATTACAGTCAACCCTCGAATTAGTACAGTACATTGCAATTTAGTGCTACCCCAGCATTTCTTCGGAACACAAATTTCTTCGGAACAAATCTCCCTAAATTGTTAGCTCAAGGGAAACTCCAATTTAGGGCCAATTAACTCACTCAGTGCCACAAAAAATGATGATAAATAAACAAAATTTGCGTCATTTTTTTGGTAATCCGTAATAACGATTCCTCGTCTGAAGAATTTACCTGCTGCAGCTGCTGCATGGTCACGAATCCAAATTATTACACTGTTGTACTCGTAAATGCGTAATGGTTTATGTACTGCTCAAACAATTCTGGAAATCGATTACTTTTGTACAGCAGATATCCTCGTCACTTATTTTTCGAGTTTGAGATTTTCAATGGCGCCAAAAATTATGTCAGTCTCCAAACTCCACACAAAAGAAGAGCAACTGAACCCTCATCCGTATTCAATAAAAACGCGAGACTTGTCTAAAATTACTGTATACAGTGAGACCCCAAGATGAGGACATAATTTGTGCATCAAGAGTGTCCCTAAGTCAAAATGTCCCCAAGTCAAGTCTCATTTTACCACGTTTTTATGAACTCACTTTTCTTGTCTGTCTGTCTGTCTGTTGGTTTTTTAGATTAATTTTTTCATCTACTATAATTATTTTATTCTTTTTAAAAAATATTTTAAAAATCATTTTTCTAAATTCACACATGAACTGGATGGTTTTATTTGAATATCATACACAGCAAAGAACATCCCAATAACTGGGATAGTATCTTTAAAAAAATTCAAAATCACTCCACCTGATCTTGGAATAATTTTGTGCTTTCTTTGAAAGGTTGATACAAAGCTGCAAAAAAAAAGTCACAATCTCTTTTACTTGATACAATTTGTGGAAAAATATATTCTGTACTATGACACAAAATTAAAATGCAGTAAAAATAGTTCACTTGAGGCTCAAATTATTCATTTGACCTTTGTTTATAAAATAGATTGAACAATGGTCCGGAAATTCTGCAAAAAAAGCCTGTTTTATTTATACAGTAGTAAAAGCCCTCAAATGAATATTCTTCTGATACACAACCCCAACTTAGTGCCACCCTCGCTTAGTCCCACAAAATGTGCCTGGACAAACAGCGGAACTGAATTGGCGTTTGACTGTAGTTCATGAGAATTATTGCGCAAAAAGAGCTGAACACATACAGTCAATCCCACATGCATAAGACGCCACCATTTGTCCAGAGAAATTTTGGCAGTTTAAAGGGATTGGCAGTTTATTGAATATTTAATTTTAAATGATTTGATCACAAATACTTGATTTTCCTCAAAAAGTCACAGAGATACAGGTTTTGTATATAAACTTCAGTAATTTTCCAAAGAGTATTACTGTGATCAATAGATTACTCTTTCAGAAAATTATTTTGCGGCATCAATTTATTCAAATTTTAAGATTAGGTCAATATGTTGTTCAAAATTTTCAACAAAATGATCATTATTATTTTTTATTCTTACAAATACAAGATCCTTGACAGAAATTATAATTCTACCCCAATGTTGGCATTGCAGCAAAGACAAAAATAATAGGAACAGCAGTTTTTTTTTGTTGCGTCTTATTGTGGTTTTCTATAGACTTTAACATGCAGGAGATTTGTTTCATTCAAAATGTTGGTGGTTATTGCCAAGGATGGTGCTTTATCGGGGGGCATCTTCATGGGATTTGACTGTATATAGTGACAGGGTCCAAATTAGGCTCACAGCGGACAAAATGCCCGTCGCGTCATCCATTTTAGCAGAAAAGCTGCGCTGAGCAAGATGATCTTATAGGGGCTCGATCCTTCCGAGAGATAAGTTGGGTTGAAGTAATACAAAAAAAGAGCATTAGAGAAACCAGTATACTGTATATGAACAACTATACCAAGCTGCAGGTCCACGCGTATTTTAGTCTCGGGGAAATAAAAAATACTGTAACTGAATGCTGGTTCTTGAAAGGGGATTTCTCATGTCCCGAAGTAAGCGCGTAAAATGCTTTATAATCGATCGCAGCTAGAAGGCTTATATATATACTGTATATTGGTTTCTTTCCCGGATCGACAGGTTCGCCAACGAGACAGCCTACGTTGGGTTGAGTTACTACGGCCCCGCGATGGGCGATAACGAATACATGAGCTTTTTCCTCTCGAGTTTGGTGGAAATCCCGAGTTACCTGGCGTGTTGGTTCTTGATGGACGTCCTCGGCCGACGGTGGCCGATGAGCGTGGCTATGATGATTGGTGGAGTGGCTGCAATTTTCACTGTTGCTATACCAGAAGGTCAGATCAGTATACCGATACAGTACCGCATATTTTATTCGAGTGCACGCCATGCGCGCGCCATTCGCCATAAGATGACGCGCACCGAGGTTTTTTCAGTGTTGGGCATTTTGATGAAATCCTATACCCTCTATTAAGACGACACGCACGCTTTTTCAGCAACTCGAGAAACTTGAATAAAGTGAGACCCCGACATGCGGACACCTCAACAAGCGGACAATTCAACATAGGAACATTTGTTTTTCAATAATGAAAAGGCATTGAAACGGCCCAACATATGGACACTGACTCAACATGCAGACATTTCATGATAAAAGTACCAATAAATTTCAGGAAAATTGACTTCTATAACCATATTTACTCAAGTACCACGCGCCCTTGAGTAAGGCGTGCACAGGGTTTTTTCAGTTGGAAATTTGGCTAAAATTGTATCCCTGAGTATGACTTGAACCCCAATTTTTTGTAAATCTAAAACCACAAAATTTTGAAAATAGAAACAAAAATTTTGACTTTAGACATGAATTTAACAAAAATCTGACCAATTTTCAACTTTTTCAGTACAAAAAAGTTTTCTTGTCACTTTTTTCCGAATTTCTCCATTATGATTAAGTATAATGCACATAGAACTTTCTAGAAATTCTTCAAAAATTTGTACCTGCTTATGACATGCACCCCTTTTTTTCTTCTGAAATTTGAGAAAAAAGGTGCGCGTGGTACTTGAGTAAATACGGTAATTATTAGGCTCAATTTAAAGCAACAGATATTTATGCATATCTATGATCTAGTATGCAAGAAAAATTCTTTGGTACATATTTTGCCCATTATTTTCCTATCCATTCACCTAACTTTAAAAATTACCTATAGCATAGAGGGACTTTTTTATCTCTTTGTAACTTGAATGTTATTTTTACAGATGCCAACATTTCAATGTACTGTACAGAGGTACACTATTCAATGTTCCAAATATATGTCCTCATTGAGTTGGAAAGATCTTCAGTGAATCAAATTCAAATAGAAAAATTTTTCAGGGAATTCCGAAGAATATTTCCTCCATAAAACACCAATTAAAAATTATATAATGTAAGTCTATGGGAAAATGAGACTTGACTTAGGGACATTTCAACTTAGGGACACTTTTGATGCACCAATTATGCCCCATCTGGGGGTCTCACTGTATATCAAAGATAAGAATACTTTGAATTTAGACATGATTGAACATGAATTTGACTAATTTCAACCAGGGCCGGCGCGACCGTATGTGCAGGTTGTTCACCGCACAAAGGCGCCACCATTGGGGGGCGCCAAAATGGGATTTGGACCCTGCAAAATTTGCACCTTCTTTTGGGTAGTTAGTGGATGCAAATACACGGGTCATTTGGATGCAAATACACGGGTCTGGATCACCCATAGTTTGGCACCAACAAAGAAATAAGAGATGCAAACTTAACAGCTAGTGCAAAATTCTTGTTTGGCGCCCCCATATATCTTAGTACATANTTGAAAATAATGTGAAGTTGAAATTTTCATCAGCTAAAATGCAAAAGGACAGCTGTTGTATGATGGTTCCCAATATTATACAGGTGAACCTCAATAAATCAAACCTCTCTAAGTCAAATACCCCCTTGAGTCAAATTTTCTTTTCAGGTCCCATTTGAATCCCCTTAGATCCTATAGGTTAAAAACCTCTCAAAGTCAAAAACTTTCTCCCTCAAACCAAAAAAAACCTATACATTTATGCATTTTAAAGGAAGTGAAAAACTTAATTGGGCAAATGAACCCCTGCCTTCAAGTTCAGCAGCCTTTTAACTCATTTAAGGCAAGGTTTGAGCCACAGAATATTACTATTTACATTCTTTCCAAGTTTCCCAGGAAAAAGGGCTGTGCATTGTAGTTTCAACCTGTAAAGGTCAAAACCTCCCTAAGTAGAGTCAGAAAATCTCATGCATAAATATCTTGACTAAAAATAGACACAAAGCAATGCTTTCTTTTGCAGTTGAATCTTGTTGCAACAAATAGCTTGTTTTGACAAAAAATTGCTTACAATGAAGTTTTTGGTGCACTATCTGATAGCCACAATTTAAATGAGTTGTTTTATAAAAAAAAGATTGTAACAACAAGGCCATTTTCCTGGCACCAGTGGCTTCATTGTAATGATATTTAAGTGCAATTGAATGTCCACAATGACACAGCTTTAGTTCACTAAATAATAGCTTATACTCATTGTCAAATTAACAAAAAGTGAAGGAAGTGCACAAAAACTATTCTGGATGACAATGACACTAAACAAAATAAATTCAAGCAGTCATGATCTGCACTTTTTTTAAAGCCAAAAATCCTTTTTTATAGAAAGTGAATCGGTACTCAGAATTATGATTATGTGAATACAGTGTAAAAGAACTTGGACTGAAAATTGAAAAAAAAAAGTTTCTTCACTGAAAACATATCAGTGAAATGACCAAAAATCAAACTGAATTTATGCAATGCAGATTTGTTTGCAACAAACACTCATAGAAAATACAGAAACATTCTGTTGGAACAGAATGTACTATTACTATGATGCCTTGCAGGCATCATAGTATAACATTTTTTTTTTTTTAACTTTTCTTTTTTTTTAAGGGGGGCGCCAAATTTTTTCTTGCACAAAGGCGCCTCCCACCCCAGCGCCGGCCCTGATTTCAACTGTTTTTACTTAAATATGTTAGTCTGTTAAACGTGGTCCAAAATGTTCCATAATAATCAAGTATGATACACTCACAAAATTCTAAAACTTTTTTAAAAATGTATATCCGCTAATGCATGATGCTCACCGCCTCTTTACTCTGATATTTGAAAAAAAAAAGTTGCGCATGGTACTTGAGCGTATATGTACCCTATACCCGAGAAATTTTGCGTACATTCCTTGGCCTGGCTGACACAAAATTGGAATTAAATAGGAGATGAATGCAAATTCATCTCGGATTTTTGTGTAAAATTCCAGAGGAGGCAACCATGAAGCTTGGACTGTATTTAGTAGCCAAATTCGCCATCGCAGCATCTTTCCTCATCATATATCCATTTGCCGGGGAGCTGTTTCCCACCGAAGTTCGAGGGATTGGAATCGGATTCTCCGCGTACGTTGGCGGGATCGGCTTGTGCATCATTCCTTTCGTCAATTACTTGGTTAGTCTTTCTTATTGTTCACCTTTAGCGACAGAGGGGTTTACGTTTTCAGAAGTTTTGTCGGTATAGTCGTATACTTCAGAACTATATACAGTATATGTTCTATCAGACTAAGATTCTTACTATGAGCTTCATGCTCTTAATCCATCTGCACCATTGCTGTCATCATTGGGATGATCAATTGCTGGAGTTATTTTAGACTAGCAGCTTCTGTTCATTTTACGCTTTAGTACCCTTCTCTTATATTGCGTTGATATACATTTTAGAGAAAATTCTCATTTTGAATCACCAACACGACGTTTATAAAGACCAGAGCACATTTTTCACTGGAACAACATGCCGAGAGTCAGATATGGGACCAGTCGGTCCCTAATTTTTATTTATTTATTTTGTGGACTATTTATTATGCATAGCGTTTGAAGACCATTATAACCCTATCTGCATGCAAATTCAATGAAGATATGCCTTCGGATTATTTTCTCTCGGTTATGGGATGCACTTACAACTTTTTCATTTTAATCTGCTGGGTGAGAAAAAATACATTGGCCAGAAAATGTAGTTTGCTAAAGTCAAAAAATTAATCTGTTTCCAATATGAAGGAACCTCGGCAAGTGAAAAAAAGATGTGACATTTGTATGGGAAACGGTCCGCTTTATCATCTCTCGGATCAACAATCAGCAATCTCTATTACAAATGCTGCTTGAATAATTACAGTTCTGCTGTAAACAGAAATAATTCTTAAATTTCCACTTTTATAATGACCTTCAACCCAATTGATCAAGTTTGAGGAATTCTAATTTGCGTCAGTATATGTATAAACGCACGTTTTGTTTCCACTGTAATTGTTCGTTGCCTTGCTAAATAAAACCAATGCGTACTCTTTTGCATTTTTGACTCACGTCATTTTATCTGGCTTTGTTTAATTTTAGGGAAGACACATGCTTGTGCTGCCGTTGATTGTGATGGGAGTAATCGCCTTTCTGGGCGGGATACTCGGCCTTGCCCTACCCGAGACTTTGCGGCAAAAACTACCCCAGACTATCGCCGAGGGCGAAGAATTCGGCAAGGATCAGAAGTTATTGACGTGCACGCTGCCCAAGAAAGCCAGTGACTTGAATTTGGGGCGGTATGGCTCTGTGAACTCCGGGAAGAATCGCTTGAGCATGAGGCATACAACCAACATCATGTTGCCTCCTTTGGCATCCGCGTAAGTGTAATACTGTACAAGTATTTTATAACGGCAAAGAAGGCTAATATATGACTCGTCATCCTGTTCTTGCCCTAACACACCTCATTTATCCGCAGGACAACAGGAGCAGTAACATTATAACGCGAGTCACAAAACCAACATATTGCTCCGTAAAATGCTCATATAAACGGAATTATGCTTTTTTATAAACTAATTATGCCAGTCCCATTTGAGGTGACCGATGAGGAGGAACTCGGGGGTTTTGAGGGCTCCAAATCACTCCGAGAACTCTCTCGCGTTCAAATTACAGTAGCCAAAGCTCTACAAGTCGTACTTTGAGGGACCAGCAAATAAATTCGAGTAAGCAAAATAAGTGCATTTCTGTTGGAGGAAGAAAGAATGAAGAATATTACAGTACCGGAAATTTTAATTGGTGATACTGTATAGGCCTTTCAATCTTAAATGAGCTGACAGTGGGATTCTGAATTTTTATGCAAGGGTTTATTTTCCCAATTAGTCTTTTGCTTCCTTTCAAAACGCATTGTTACATTTTTATTTCTTTTCTTTTTCCTAATAAATAAAATAATAGCCAGAAGGCCTAAAAAATCGAGTTACGCGTAGGGGATGAAACGCGTAGGGGATGACGTGTGTGGGGATGAAAGCCTTCAACTTGAGGGGCTTTAATAATGCATTGTTTCTGAGCTAGGGAATTCCTACAGAGTTGACAAAAAATCGACATTGGGAGTTATTTCACCTCAAAAAATTCGAGTTATCGAGGTTATGTGATAAAACAGAGGGGATATGTATGCTGCGAAAAAAATCGAGCGACATTTCAAGACCTACAAAAAAAATTCTCAACAGGAGCTCACAAATTACACAAATGCAGGAATTAAAATTACTCACAGCCTGAAGTGTGATATTAAGCGACATGTCTCCTATTCTGTCACAATAACCACAATCGAGGTCCATTTTGGAAGATATATACCCCGGCGTTATAGTTCAGTCCATTATTCTTAATCTTTACTTATTTTGTAGAGCAACGAACGCCGAAACGATGAAACTCGGCTCGTACCCGAAAGAAGACGACATGGAGACGAACCTGTCTGACGTCCCGTTCGACAATAGCCTCAAAGACACGGTTCTGACGGCGGATGGCGACGGGTCCGAATGCGGTCCAAGTCGCATTTCAGTGCATCTCCTGCCGGGTGACGACATCGCTGCCGCCGCCGAAAAGAGCCGAAAAGTCAGCTTCATGACGAACAAACACCCGCCGCGCGTCGACACTGTGTCCACTTCGATGACGGGATCGCTGGATCGACAGACCCCCGGGGCTCAGCCGTCTCCGAAGTTCCTCAAGAGCTTCTTGTTCCGCCAGTCGACCGTCGAGTTGCCCACTGACCCGTGCACAGGCGTGATTCACATGACGCACTGGTACTGACACCGGAGCTCTCACGCCGATCAAACTCTATAGCTGCAGTGATCCATATAGGTATTATAGCCGTATAAAGTCGGGTGACATGCGCGAGAATCATGAAGCCAATTTTATATGGGTGTGACTCATACTCATTAGCAGCCATCATATTTAAACGTGACGCAAAACTGTTCTTCAAACACGCAGAAAATAAGCGAACACGTTCTGAGAACTACTGTGTAGTCCTTTACTATATCGGCTTCGCGAGGCTATCACGGATCCGACCCACGAAAAAGAATCGTTCTCACTACATCGGAATTCAATCGCGGCTTTAAGGTAATGCTTTTCCGCACATACAAGGCTTCATCAGCGTTACTACCGTACTCGTATTTGTCTTCAGAGAAAAGAGTACAATGGACCGCAAATTTGCCTTTGACCCAATAACATTCTAATGCACCATGGCCAGCGGTGCTGATCCTAATTTTAAAAATTATAAAAATATTCCAACAATTATGACTGAGGGCGACATCTTCTTCGAAAATATTGAAGTGCATTAGTCCGAATATAACGGAACATGAATACTAATTATTTTTTTCAATCAGTCGATTTATAATGAACCAATTGGAAAATTCAAACCTTCCATACCATATTTAGATTGTTCAAAATTGAATAAATAGAGTAAAATGAAAAAATAAGAGCTTTTAATTTTATTCTAGATGCAAGCATGAAACAAAACTTGGGTACGTCCTAATTTCGATTGGATAAGGATAATTCAATATTTTTTTTAGTTATCTGAGCCATATTCCGATATAGACTGCGGAAATAGGATTAGTAGAATGACGCCGCGTTTCTGCAATGTTGTCCATCGTGAAAGATGGCCCAAGACTTATATGACCTGAGTGATATTCTTCTCCATAACACATAAAGAGAAAAGAACCAAAACTTTAATAAACATTTTCTCGTGATTATCTGAACGTGTTCGCCACTGACGAAAGGTACGTTTATTGTGAACATAAATATATCATGCTGTTTATTTCAGCAATTTTGCCGTAAGATAAATTCAGCTCACTTTTGTGAGCTTCTTAGGCGTAGCCGACTTACATTTCCGTTATACAGTACTGTTTATGAGAATCGCGCGTTTAATTTTTTTTTGTGGACAAAAAGTGTATTAATTGAAGCATGTATACGTATTGCATGTTTTATTTTCATTTTTTCGAGTATTGATTTTCGCCGGCAATGATTCGAAAATTTTCGGAAGTGAGCATTTTTGACGCAGACAACGATTGCCGTTGAGGTTGATTGCAAGTAGAACAGATGCATCGTAATTAATCGAACTTATATTCGGAAACTTTGCCTGCGAAGTGCTTGAGGCACAGGAGGATATGTGTTGCGTTGCTCACTCTTTTCATCAGGGTTTTCAGCAGTAGCGAGCATGTATTTTCTTCAAGCGGTTTCATCAACGTCGTGCAATAAAATTATTTGGTGGTATTTGAAAAAAAAAGGAAAAGAGCTGTGGTTTGTTTTAAAAGGCACGTCGGAATGATTTATTGTTTTTTGGCGGTGTCCGCCGGATATTTACCCAGTTGATTTGCTTTTTGTTCGCAGTCGATACCTGGGCGAGACCAGCAGCAGCATGCGGAGGTGCTACTCACCCACGACATAACGTCGAGGAATTATTCCCTGTATATAATGATGCCGTGCATCAGGAGGCGAGTTCGGAGGACCGCGACCAAAGGCAACCACGAACAACTCCTCGACGCGTTCCGCGCAGAATCACGCGAGCGAATGAACGCGGACGCTGGGTACCCGCGAGGAAATCCCAATGGCGCTTTCGGCTTTCCCAACCGCAGATTGGTCCATCGCGGGTTGCAGATCTTTCAGCAATTACGAGATACATATTGTATGTGGAGCCGCGTAATTGTCGGTCATTCTTTCTTTTTTCATTATTCGAGATCCAGGGCGTGATTTGCCGCCATTATACATCCGAGCAGCACCGCGATATTGTCTCATTATCTTCTTGACTCACGCAGAGTAGACCCTGAACATGTATAGGCTCTTTGATCAATAGGCAAAGAGCACGAGGGAAAACCTCAGCATTCATCGTCGTTGCTATAACCGTGCTGATCATGGCGAAAAGAAACTCAGTAAGGATCGTCGTGATGATGTCTCGCCTCGTCGAGAAAACGTAGTTTTTTTTTCGCACGACGAAAAAAGAAATAAATTGTGTATAGATAAAGATACATAATTAGTGTTTGTGATCCATATAATTTCAACAGCGGAATATGTAAAGCAAACTCTCACCTGAATACTGTACCTCAACTCGAAGTCAAAGCGTTCACGTAAACGCTTTTCAACTGTTTATTCAGTACTCAGTGCACCGCTTGGGAAATTCAAGTCTCTTTAGTTTTTATTGCGGAAGTACTGTATATGATTTCAAGGTATACTTCCGAAGAATTGACAAACAAATCATTAGCAGGATTACCGGCCCATCGACGAATTGTCACAAAAGACGAAATAATTAGAGCTGCTGAAGCGTGCATAAAAATCGGAAGACGCGAAGTAAATGCACGTCATGCTGAATTGATTTCAAAGAAAACATTCCTATTCCTACTTTTGGAGAAATAGGAAAGAATTGGAGATCTGTTAACGTTGAATTCTCGCGTCTCAAAACCATATAGTCAAACTCAAAAATCGTTCGACGTCGTCATATTATTTCTAAAAAGCTCATCAAACCCTGGAACTAAAATATTATTTCAAATTAAATACTTCTCGCGCGGAGCTTTAAACCCGAAATATGCTGTTCGCCTGTATTTCGAAATCAGAAGCACGGATTGCGAGGGGAAAAAACAGCAAGATTTAAGCTTCTAAAGCAGTATCCGCGTCTATATACGACTTTCCCTCGACGGAAGCACCATTTTCTGTGATAATATACATCAGTATCATAAAAAACGGCCATAGCGAAAAAATTAAGGACTACAAATTTCATCTTCAATGGATTGTTTCAGCGAAAATTATCTAGAGTTTTTCTTGTGTTGTGAGCAAGAGCAGTTTTTTTTTAAAGCCTCATATACGAAATAAACATCGAACCGGATGATTTTCCAATAATAAATCATCTGCCCGCATCATGAATTAGTTGAAAAATCTCATGCAATTGAATCTACAATCAAAAGAAAATTTCAAACCACATCGAACTAAAACATTCAGACTCATCGAATTGCTTGAGAGAAAATCGTGTTTTGCTGATGTGATAATGAGCATCAGTGATTTTACAGCCTTGAGTGAAAAAAGGCAATATATAATGGTTGGATATTCCACAAATAAATATGTACTGTCCCCCAATTTCTTTCGACGACTTTAAATACAACACGAACAAAATAATTGAATATAATTCTAACATCATAACGAGTTTGGAAATTGCAGGAAAAGTGCGCTTGAGAATCAATAACTTTTCCGCGGAAATCGAATATTGCCCTTTTCTTTGTAAATAAAATAAAACTTGTGGATTTGTCCCCATGAAGTACTTCTGGCCGCCCATGCATACATCAGCTGGCTGATGTTTGCCGTGTTTTGTTCATGCTTGCATGGTTTTGTATTCTTTTACTCCTCTTATTCTTTCATGTGCATCAATGGTGAGAAAATCGGTTCTTGACGAACTGCTTCATGCATACAACGTCGCATAAAAGTACAGCATGATGCAGCCTTCAAGAATTCTTTCCTCGTGGTCTCTGCTCTGTACAACAGCAGTGCATCAGTATCACCATACTATATTGATGGAATAATACCACAAAACGGATTTCGGTTGTGTTTGTTCACAAACGGAAGCATCGAGGCCAAGAGGAACTGTCGGGCTGTTCCCGGTGTTGTTTCTGCGTGCATGCATGGAGGCGAATATCGCCAACCATGACGACAAAGGCGTGAAAGTCACCCTGGATTTCGCACCCACGTCCTGCCTACATAATCGAGCCTCGGTTTGCAGAATCTTGTCCACAACAGTTCAAGAAAGCGCATCGGTCGCACGAAATAAAGGCATTCTTGATAGCTCTTCTCAGTGTCCAGGTTACCTATGAAAAAATTTCGAAAAGAACTTTTATTCTTATTGTTGCCAAAAATCGTCTACTTTGCTTTCTGAATGACGTATTGTAGTTCGTATCGCGGATCATATTAATTTTCGTGACGTAATTGATCATGCTGTGCTGTGTATCATCCCCTTGTCATCATCCGTCGTCAATATGTACAAAGTTTGCACCTGAAAAAATCAACTGCTGCTGCTTATTGAAACACCTTGCAAAAAATATCTAACGAAGCAGCAATTTCCATCAGGTACAGTGGATTGAATGCGCAAATCCACTTCTATGTTTAAAATCTAAAAACAAGTATATTATGAAGAGATACATTATTCCATATACCCAAGTTTGTGGTAGTGCTGGCGGGAAACGTCAAGGCTGATTTTTGAAGGACTATACTACGCAGCATACTGCGTCTCATAAATAGTAATAAACAACGCACTGTTCAACAGATAAATCAAAATGTCTTTAAAACAGATAAATTCGAAGTTCAATTCATGGATCTTCATGTAAAGATATAATGCAGCAGCGAAGTTCTTTACCTCAAACATTATGACCTTTCCTCTCAATCAGCACGGAGAAAGTCGCTAAAAGTAATAAATACAGTACGTTAATAATTTTGTGGTGAGTTCAATATTTATTTCGTGAATGTACCATCAGATTCAAATTTCCCTTGGCGCAAAGATTCTTTTTTAAAATTAGGAATTCATCAACAAAAATTTTGAATCAGTAGTTATAAGAAAAGGCATCAGCTGCTGGGAGTCCTTGTTTTTCTTTCTATTATAATATCCCTCAAAAGAAAACTGAAATGTGCTTCTGTGATGTGAAGGTTGCAATTCGATTTTGCTTGATATGAAAATGTAATTTAAAAACCAATCTATTCAAAGATTACCTTGGCCCTGAAATACATAAATACGCCATTAGTTTCACGAAAATTGTGTGAAGTGCTGTCATGCCTAAAATTCACCACAGGTTACTTTTCTTCAGTTTCAGGGACCGAGAACTTATACGGCGCAATTCAAAATTTCATGGCACTGTATTCGCGTTGTTACTCCGTGTTCACGAAGATTCTGGCAATTTTTTCAGGGGTCCTGGTGGACACACAAGCATCCTGTCACGAAGTTGAAAAGAAAACGCAAGGCGATGAAAGGTCAAGATCTGCACTTCCTCCGCTGTTTGGCGGTGATATCATGTGTGCAAGAGGAACAAATATCACCTTCAAATGGCGAAGGCAGTGACGATTTTCGTCTCATTGCAGAGAAAAAACAGGAGAACAATCACATGGATGTTTTCAACCAATTTCGTCAACTCTACTTTACCTTCATATACAGTATTTGAAACTTCATGCGGATAATGACCAGACGCTTGTTTCGTTGCTCAAGGCTTTTATTCGGATTGCTCACAATAACACATATTTCTTTGGTAAGAGGTCACAATTCGGTAGGGCATCGAAGTAGCCTTCAAAGATTGATTGTTGCGTTACACCAAGCGGCAGAATTCATCTGCTCATCTCGGTTCAACATTTTTGAAAACATTTTCCCCATACACCAAGAGGAATGCAAAATCTCTCGATTTTCTTTTTTAAAGGCAATGTAGAAAATTTTGCACCGGAAATCTTTCACTCTAAAACAAATCGACGAATAAATGCTCTGCGGCGATGCGGGAAACATGCCGGGTAACAACACCAGTTCCAAACAAGGCCATTTTTTTGAGATCAGCGCCGAGGATAAATACTGTTCATTCGCGTGTGTAATACTGAAGATCTATGAACAATAGAACGAAAGTTTGTCTCAAAAAATTCAAAAAACGGCGGAGTCGTAGAACCTGAGACTGTTTTGAATAGCTCCTTCGCATAGCCGATCAATAGTTACGGAATCCCTTGCAAAATTGCTTTGAATACTCAGATCCATTTTTCTTTGCAGTCAATGGTTGAATAAATTCAAGGTATGCAACATCAACTTTCAAACGGGAAAGGTAACATCTCATTGCAAGTGGAACACGACACCACGAATGGAGTAAAATATGAAAAACCACACGCGGTGAGAACTTTTCAAACTTTCAGAATAATTGAGGGCATACAAGAGGAATGATCTGGCGGCGCCTACACGATCAAAATCGAATGATACAGTAACCACGCCGACTTCCTCGAAATTTGAAATCGCATAAGAGAAGAAATATGCTAGGTACAGTAGCAATATTTGTCAGCAACAGCTTAGAGATAGCAATGCTGTGAGCTGAAAAGAAGAATAAAATACGACCTCAATAAAAACAGTTTTATACCTGAAACAACTTAAAATCTTCGTGCATACTAACAAAAGAATGGAAGATGAACAAGAAGACCTAGAATTGATAAATTTTAGATCGCACGATTGCGTAAGTTTTCAAAGGTAGGCTTGAGGTCAAGTTAAGCGACTTGATTTAGAATTTCGATCACCAATTCTAGTTGACTTTTAGACCAGAAAACGGTTCCAATTTGAAAGGTTCACAGATTGAGTTCAAGAATGTGCCAGAAGAGAAACACAGTTCACAATGAGAATAATGTACTCTACGTATTTCCCAAAACGTCATCTCTTTCTAAAGGGAAAATAACTTCAGGATTCTAACGCTACACCATTATTTAATCGAGAATTGTGGAAAAGTAAATGCTTTGAATTTAATGCGATTTCAACTTTTCAAGACCTTCAGGCATCATCGATATTAATTTATCTCGTAATTACTTTAAAAGGAGATTCTTTCTTGGTTAATTTTCTAAAAACTTTTCCAAATCCCTTCAAACAAGGAAATCAGCGCGAATCACCGGTAGCATCTACGTTCCCTTCGATCGAAAGTCATCATCACAACCCAGAGCATCGGAGAGATCCCAGAAAATATGGTGAGTAACCCGTTTCCTCTCAAAAGCAATCATTTCGTACAGGCGGCCAACTCAAACCTAGTTCAGCGTGCCTCAAAACGGTAAATGCTTGCTCCAGAAAAAATGCATTCAATGCAAAAATGTGAAGTTCAGCTATTGATTTTAGTGCGCACGCGGTTAAACATGGCTTCCACAACCATTTTTGCCGAAGATCGTCGTCTTCGGCCCCAACGCTTCCTAATTACGTCACGAGAAACTTCGCGGAACGCTTCATCGATATCTTCACTTCCTTCACTCGCTGAAGTCTTGAACAGGGTCAAATTCAACTCCTCAGCCAGCGCTTCAGCCTCAGCCGTGGAAACCTCATGATCATGTACTGCGGAGAACATTTCGGAGAATTAAGTATCAACAAGAAATGGCGACCATTCATTCACCGATTCTAACAAATTCAATCCGTGCTGCCACAGTACATGACTGAATGCCACAATTCCGTCACTTCGTGTGTTGGACGACCGAAATCAGTCCATTGCGTCTTGTAGTTATTGAACTAGCGTCCAATTTCACTTAGTTTTTACTGTATAGTGTTCAAAATATTTCTGGAGCATTAGTAAAACGACATTTCAAACTGGATGAAAATTTCCGACACAGTCATCTCAGATAATGCAGCATTCTGTGAATCAGTCTCTAGTTTTCAATACGAAATGAACTTACTCATTTCCATTTTATTGGCAACCAAAACGATGGATGGCACCGGAGGTGGAGGCGGTCTTGTGCTGTGGATGAGGTCATGAAGTGCTTTGACAGCTTCAAAACTCTCGCGATTGGTCATGCTGAAGACCAGAACAAAACCGTCCCCCCATCTGACGTGATTTTCTGTTGATTCTGGGTCCAACTTCAGGAAGACATGATCATGAAATTCATGGCAACGAAGTAAATCTGACAAAAAATCAAAGGAAAAAGTTTACCTGCGGACCAGTGTCCATAACTTCCACTACATAATTTTCATCATCGATTTCCAGCAAATGTCTGTAAGTTGCTTCCAGGTTAACGTCATATTCCCAGATAAAGCGGTTCGTCAGAAGCCGTACCACCAATGCTGAATGAGAAGCATACGTGAAAAAGAACGTATTCTATTTAAGAACGGCGCTCCGCGTAGAAAGAAAAATTTCTCACCTGACTTGCCAACGCCAACATTGCCCAGCACAGCAACTTTGCAATCAGCAGCAACCTTGTCCTTCTCTTTGCCTTTACTCGGTGAAGATGACGAACTGTACGTCGGACTCGACGGTTTCAGTAGGTTGTGGTCAGGCACCTTTAGTTCCTTAGCTGTTGCATTAGAGGGCTTCGCGTTGGCAGTCTGATGATTTGTCACCGTAATCGCAGGTTTCAAGCTCAAAGACAGCGACGTCAATGAACCGTTTCCCGGACTGGTGAGTGCATTGGTGACAACAGGTGTTTGATGTCCATTGGACATCTCAACTGGATAAATCTCACAAAGAAATAACGACGCAGAAACGCCTCACGGCGTTGCCTAATAGTTGAAGTAAAAACAAGAGGATTGAAGCGGATATCGCATAGCACAGGTAGTATTGGATACAAAGAAAATTCAGCGTGCATCTCAAAAGTTTACACGACAACTTCAATCTGGAAGAACTCGACAATTCGGCGCGTCTCAACGGAAGAAGCGCACCTCGTACATCAACCACGCTGCTACGTACTCTCCGCAACGCACGACGTCAAGAAAATAATGTGGTCGCTGTTGAGCATCACTCTCCGATTGTGGAGTATTCAAGTGGGAGATATGAACGGGAGCAATGCTAACCATCTGAAAATCACTGGGGAATTAAAAAGTAATGTCCTATACATGAATTCTTACTGTAGGAGTGTAGACAGAAGTCTGGCAACAAGAGTAATTATTTCTATGAACATTCTTCGACCATTTTTGAACAGTGTTCGCTCCATAATTCAAGTACGGATATACAGTATTGTACTAAAAAAAGCTCAACGGATGGCCAAATTGTGTTAATGCTGGTGCCTGTGAGTCGAGGCAGACCTTTGGCAACAATTTCACGCACCAATTTTTTATGAGAGTCGAAGTGATGTATGAGAAAGCATGTCTCTTCAACCAAGAATCTGTTTGAAATGTCAACAGCATTTTTCAGATTAAAAAAAATAAAAAACAGATACTTCCCTGCATTCATAGCATCTCTGTGTCATTTCAATGGATTTCAAATTTTTGCATTAAAACTTTTCATTTTCAGTTACTCAGAAGTGATAATCGCTTATTTTTTTACTCCGACATATTTTATTCATGCTGTTTGCTCAGATTTTTAATAATATTCAAGTGAATTTAGATGGTGCCAAGAACCGGATGGATTACGGTTTGGCAAATTGGTTCTTAAAGTTATGCTCTATTTGTGTCTTATTCCGAGTGAAACTCAAATTATTCTCTAAGTTGGATCACAGTAATTTTCTTTCAATCTGCGGTCGTTTCTAAAAATTATTTGAATTTACAATACAAGATTCCCTCAAGGATGTCAGAGTTTCAAAAAATCTAAAGAACTTCTATCATAAAGTACTGTATATCCACTCTGCAATGAGAATACCTTTTGCATTAGTGCAGTGAATCCCATCAGCAACACTTCTCATTGTCCTCCAAGAATTGTTCCTTTATCCCTAATTAGTACCTATTTGTTCGTTGCCTTGGTCTTCTACTCCTTTCACCTTAAAGTGATCTATGCTAAATGAAGCCAAAGCGTTGAAAAACTGCAGTTGAGACGGAAAATCCTTCAGGAGTTAAACGGAACGCATTTTTCACCTATAAAACAGACTTTCCGGGGAAACACAACTGGCATTTCACGAGCAGTAAATCCCCCGAACATTAATACGAGAAGAGAGCACATCGAATGAAAACGAACTTTGTTTGCATACGAAGTATAATTTGCCCACACTTCCATTATAAGTATAACTCTTGCACATTTTCGAACTTCCAATCAACACCATAATTATTGTACATTAAGAATTTAGAACAAAAAACCTCGCGCACAAAAAATTCTGAACTAGTTCAACGGGAATCACACCTTAGAAAACGGGAATACGCACAAAAATTTAAGTTCATTGAAAAAAAAAATTGAAAACGCACCAAATAAGCCCCATTTTCTTTTTCTGTTGCGAACAAATGAACATTGAAGGAGAAATGCCTGTTAAATGCCCACTAACTCATCAGAAGGCTAATCCACCAAGTTCAAGCGATTCTTAGACAAAAACTGTCAGCCGGATAAATAATTTCTACTAAGGAGATAGGGAGATGCATAGCAGTTGCTGTCAAAATTTAGTTCAACCTGAAATATCCGACTTACATTAAAAAAATTCCGAATCCAAGGATAGGTCCACATCAAACAAGAGATACGAGCTCGAAAATTCGAAACTCGAGTCTTACATACCGTAATTGAAAACATTGAGCAACAGTTTAAAATGGCATTTCGAAGATTCATACAATCACAGAAATTCATCCTTACCGGCAAAAAAAAAAAAAGATGGGCGAAGTTTAAATCGTTCTACGTTAATTCTCTTGGTCGTGGGAATTACTCTTTCAATTTAACCTTTTTCGACATATTGAGATCCAAATTTGACCGTCTCCCTTCTTATTCACACACACCTCTCTCGAGTGCTCAGCTCACAAAAAAAAAAAAATTTTCGGGACTGAATTTTGCAAAACCCGAACATTCGCTCGCAGAAATATGAGCACTAGAATCCTAATAGAAGGTGCACAAAGTTGGGAACGAACATTTCATAAGCTCACCACATTTTTGCGATCGAAAAAAAAACGCAGAACTATAGCGGAGGATAACAAATCCATCGCGATTACACTTGAAATATCGATTATCATCAGTAAAAAATGCAAGCTCCTCCTTTTTTACCTGAAATTTGCAAGTACTTGATTCTTTTCAAATTCGCAGGGAGAGAAACTGCTTCGGTAAAAAAAGCTTTGTGCAATATCTTCACATGTTTGCTGTAAACAGAGACACGCAAGGTTCATAATAAAGCAAGAAGACAGCAGATAGAAAGCATCAAACTCTTAACGGTTGAGACGAAGACGGTTTACAAGGTTCATCCAAAATTGTAGTTCACTTATACTGTTACTTCGACGAAGTAATTAGAAGAAGAGTAAGAAACGTTCGATTCCCAACATTCTTCATTCGCATGGAAGTCAGCAATATCATTTATTAATGAGCATAAATTTTCGACCAGAGTAAACGTGAGCTGTTAACATTCACCGGGATTAAAACCAAATCACGCGAGACTCCAGGCGGAAAGGTGAAACAATTCCATCCATGCGCAGTTCAAAAGCCCGAGCAGTATGAAATAAAGTTTACAGAAAACAAGACATTCGATGGATTTGACGAAAAGAAATGAGGAGGCGACTCGCGTCGAAAAGCACGAAGAATGAAACACGACCCATTAGCAGATCGTACACCTCTTCCGCCATTGCTTTTGAGATCCACTGTTTTTTTTATCCTTGCCTTGGCGCTCTTTATGCTTTCGGATTTCTCGCACAAGCGTGTAGAAGGCGTCGTCGACCCCCATCCGTGTTTTAGCCGACGTTTCGATGAACGGAATCGCGTAACTTCGCGCAACATCTTTCGCTTGGTTCATGTCGATGGAGCGAGTGGAGAGATCACATTTGTTTCCAACCAGGACCATTGGAACGTCATCTGCGTCTTTGACGCGTTTGATCTGCTCTCTGTACATCGAAATATCTTCGAACGACTTCCCATTGTTCACAGCGAATACCAGTAGAAATCCTTCGCCGGTGCGCATGTACTGGTCTCTCATTGCCGAATACTCTTCCTGACCTGCCGTGTCTAAAATGTCCAGTAAACACGTCTCGCCATCGATCACTACTTGCTTCCGATATGAATCTTCGATCGTAGGATCGTATTCATCCACGAAATGATTCTGAATAAGCTGGATGGTCAAAGCACTTTTCCCGACACCGCCAGCACCCACAACCACCAGCTTATATTCCGTCATTTTGTCGAAGTATCTTCCCGAATTGTAAAACACTCGGGAGATATCCTAGCTAGAACATAAATTGCTCAAATTCCCAGAACTGAACGAATTGAAACTCTGTGGGAAATAACAATACGGCTGATTGAGAACACTGACAGTCTTCAAAGCGATGAAATTATAACGTTCAATAATTCTTCAATTAGTCCGTGTCAGAGATAAAATAAAAATATACCGCAGTTGGTTTTAAAGAAATGCACACTTTAGACACCACGCATCAGCCATGCCCCACTTCTACCTTACAGAATTAATATCAACTCAGCGCCATGAGGACCAGTAAGGCATTGGTATGCGTTGAGAGGGGAGAGTAGAACAAGCGTTTAATAGGATGAAAATTTTCAGCTGGGGCCAGCAGCACCAATCCGAAATACAGTACTGTACTGTACAGTATTTCACCTAGACTCCATTGCGCGCAATACTGTATATAACGATTCAATAATCACCAGCATAATTTTAGGGAATTCGAATTCAGGTCAGACAACCTCAGTCAGATATTCGAGGCAATATGGATGGGAGACTAAAAATTATTTACTCCTGCACATGTACGCCAACTTTAATCGACGCGGGATCAAGACTAACCCTCGTCAAATTAAAAATAATAAAATAAATACCTCGCACCCAATTTCATGAAAATGTCATCCAAATGATTTTTTGTCCTACACACCTTGATTTTAAGACGTTTGTTGCATGAGTAACAGCAATATAGCTATTCTACATCAGCAAGTGAAAAATTTAGACCTTTTGCGGAAAATACCACTTTCTCACATAAAATTTTGATTTGTAAATGTTGTGTCCTTGATATAAGTGGACTCTCGATACCGTCTATAACAGATTTCAGAGACCTAGAAAATTTGGTTGTAGAAAACCTTTTTTTTGCAGACATCCTCTATAATGCGCGTAAAGCCCATATATGGCACAAAAAATAAAATCATCCTAGACAAAATTGTTGTTGAGGGTCCACTTGCTTTTACAGCACGCCTTACGCAGGACACTTTTTCCCATCCGCAATGGATTGCATTGAGATTTTGCATAAGGCCATCAATTCCCAATTAACTTTTCATCACTTACAATAGCGAAGTTTCGAATACCGTACTATACCTGGAAAAGATAGTGACATTTCGCATATGAAATTAAGTAAAGAAAAAACTTCTCATTAGGCACATGGAAATGCAAATGAAATTCTTCTTCACAGAAACGCAAAAATAATGCTTTATATAAACGTGCAAATCGTGTTCGGATTACAAAAGTGCACAAATTTACAATCTCGTCGCAGACACGCGTCATAACCACTTGCAATTTCACAAACTTGAGACCAATGAGTTGAAAATTATTCACGTTGCACAATTAACAACGAGTTTCCCTGAGCTATCCCGTATCCTCAACCAGCCATTCGAATACCGCGTTTCCTGGCGTCCATCATTGTACTCAATCTTCTCAGTGCCGTCTGGAAATACTTTGCGCTGAAACGGAAGAAAAATTTCGTAGAAACACTTTTATGGGTCGAAATCGACAACTACCCACCCTATGATCCAGAGCAAAAATGAGGCGTTCTCCATTCGGCTGAGAAATTGTTCTCTCCCCATTTCTTCCAGTTTCAATCCGAGTGCCATTCGGGCGGGTCTCCACTTTTGATCCATTTTTCTTAAGCACGAGTTGCACGCCATCTGTCCTCGTAATTTCGACGTCACCATTCGTCTTATGTTCTTGAACTTCGCCTCTACGAAAATCAAGACACAAAATATTTATTATCAACGCAAGAAGGACATTTTTTTTTTGTAAAATGCATTCGAAATGAAGTAAATTGGAACGGTCAATTCGTGTCTCCGATGAATATGCCCATAACTCTTGAGGTTCAAATTTTAATATTCAAAATTTCACGCAAAATATTATTCGTTTAATTCATAGAAGCAATTGCTTGGAAAAATTTTTCATCAAATAGTTATGGTATTTCACAGAAACGAGGACTACATATACAAGGACACAAAAATAGAATTAGACACAAGAAGCTCGCGAGTACTCGAGGAGCGGTAAATGTTTAGACATTGAGTCACAATTTATAACCTAGGAAAATACATAACTTCCACAGAAGTGCTATGAACCTTGAAGAGGATTCCAGTAAGAATTTTAAACAAAAAAACGACATGAGAGAGGGGTACGTAAATCCTTGTTGAGAACGGCCCGTTTTAATATTTTCACACTTTTACGGTGCTGTAAAATTGGCAATCCGATAAGAACGATCTAGCACTAACCCAAATACTCCACTTAAAAACTAACACAACCTAACATTTACAGCATGCTAGTGTGGCAGGGGATACATTGACAATTGCGGGACAACTTCAAAAGTGGAGCACGGAGAAGTGCATCTCGGAAATACAGTACATCAACAGATCCGCTCGGCATAGGAAATTCGTTTAAAAAAGAATACGACGCAGTTCAATGGAGAAATCACTCACGAAGCCAGCTCGATCAATTTGGATCCATCCGGTCGCACGGTTTGCCAAGTCAAGCTCTTGCCGAAAAAATACTCCACAGTACCATCGGAAAAGGTTTCTTTGACGTCACCGTTGTAGTATATGACTTTAGAAGACTTTCCATCAGCCGAAATTTTCTGGCGGTTACCGTTCGGAAACAGTACTTCCTTGCTGCCATCCACCAGCGTACACTCTATCGTACCATCATCCAAAACTCGTTCGGCTTTGTACGCGGATCCAGCCGATACTCCGGAAACAAAAGACGAAGTCGGAGATGATTTCGAGAGGGTTCCTCCTAAAGTCGTCGGTCGAGACGACATCGGATGTAAATCGATCGAATTCTCTTTGGCACGTAACGCCAAACTTTCGATTGCTTTGTTCCGCTGATCGGTTTCTGCGGGGTTTCCTCCCCCAGAATTGCGGGAATGCATTTCTTCACTAACAACATATACTTCTTCGTCTTTTCGTTCTGAAGTGACGGGCGTTTTCTTCAGAACTTCAGGTTCTTTCCAAGGATTTTGTTCAGATGAATTCAGTTTTCCGGCGGTTTGACTTGGAGCTCCTTCGGGTTTTCGAATTAGTTCGGAAAATAATGACTTATCTCGCGGGCGCGAATCAATGTTTTCCACGGCACGTTGCAGTGTAGCAATAACTTGGCCAACCTCGTCGTCGACAGGAGTTTTCGGCTGTGTGACTGGATTGCTTACGGGCTTCTTCTTAGCCTTCAATTGCGCAACCTGAAGAAAAATAAAAGCTAATACAGTACTGTAATGGAAGTTATGAGAATCGACATCAAAACGTAGAACTTCTAAAAAGAACAGCGTTTATATTTTTCCAGAAACGTGAAGTCAGTAAAACTGGAAAATAACTTGAGCTGAACGTGAAATATGTATTAGAATCAAATAAGGATCAAAATATAAAATGAAAAGAAGTGTAGGAATAGCACGGCAACAACGTCTGACGGTTGGCAGAATTAAACAAAAGATAAGTTCACGAATTCCCACCTGCTTTTTCAACGCTTCATTCTCTTCTTTCAGCTTGGTCATCATCGCCATCAATTCGTCATTCGTGTTTTCCAATTTTCTCACCGCCATTTTGTGTCTACTTTGCGCGGCCCCAAATTTCGCATCACGTTCCTTCACTTCAGCTTCTGCGTCCAACAACTGCAAATACGGGAATAAAAATTGAATAATTCATGACGGATCGATACATTAATGGAAGAAACCTACCTTCAATTTGAGCGCGCGGATTTCTTCCACCAACTTAACATCGTTGGTGTATTTCTGTTCCCTACGGGTTTTCTCAAATGCCATTCGATCTCTTTTCAGCCTGTCCTCCTCTTCCCGCAATTTTTTCGAAGTGATCTTAACTTGTTCATCTGCTTCCTTCGTCATTTTGTTTTTCAATGTCTCGATTTTCTTCTTCTCAGCTTCCAGCTGTCTGCGCAATGCCAACACGCGATCATTCTCCTTCCTATACAGCGCCATTTCCCGGTGCAGTTGCTCAACATTCTTCTGCATGGATTCGTCGTGATCCTTTCGCAGAACTTCGGTTTCAATCGGCACGATTTCTTCACTGATGAGGCGTGCAGGTCTTATGGCAAGTTTCGGTTTAGTTCTAGCAATGCGACCCAAACCTATATTCCGACTTTTCGTACATTTTCCGACCACGCGTTTCAAAGGCCCCCTTTTCTTGACCAATGCCTTAGTTGCGGGAACTGTTTTCGGAAGTACAAGGTCTTCCTCGTCAAACGACTCTACTTCAGTCCCTTCATCAGACTGTGGTGCCGACTGGTTAGTTTCGCTTTCGGCGGTGAAGGAATGCTTGTACACAACTTCGTTGAACCTGACGTGGGACTTGGGATCGGACTTCCGCGGAGAGTTGCTCACGGAAACCGAAATTTCTGAAACACTGAACGAATCATCAGAGGTCGGCTCGAAAGTCTTGACGTATTCCTCGACGCATCTCCGAAAAGCTGCGCTCCTGAATTGGTCGGGAGGTGAACTCGGTTCCCGCGCGCACCCCGATTGGTCTGAAGGCGTTTCATCAGGAAGATGCAGAACTCTAGGCAGCTTATTCATACAGCGAGCGGAAATTCGATTGATCACCGACGAAGATGAGCAGAAGCTCGAATTTTCCGCAGCATATTCGTTCTGGATGAAGTCCCGAAGTTCCTGTTGAAAAGAAAGATTACATCGTTGTTGGTTGAAAAACGCAAGTTTACGCGAGATGAAAAAAAACAGCAAAACTTTACAGCATCCTCCATGCAGTTACTTATAGTCCATTATCATTCATAATAAACGGCGTCTCACCAAAAAACCCTGCAACTGTAGTTAAAAAAAGAAGCAATACAACTACTGTATCTTAGATTCAACTGAAAACAAAAAAAATCAGCAGAGCTTTGCCGCTAAGTCTTCTAAATTGTTATACTGTACTGTAAAAACCCTGATAATCAAATAATGTACAATTATACAAGTTAATGGACAAATAACTCACTGAATCTGACGATTCGCGATGTCCTCGACGAGGAGACGACTGCGAACTCGGAATGAGAGCTTTTCCAACATTCGGAACAGATACAGTTTTTTCAGACGGGGTCTTAGGACTTTTCGGCTTCCACTTCACCTTCGCTAATTGTCCATAACGTTTGAGGCCTTCACCCCGCTTCAGGTATTTTCTCGGCTGCATACCGGAGGCATGCCGGGATTCGGATTCGTCTCTCCCTAGTTCCCCGTTCAAAAGAGAAGCGAACGGAACCGTGGTTCCGGACACCGGGAGATCATCCAATCCACGTGGCTTTGCACTTGAGGGCGCACTCCCTGGATTACGTCGACCAATTCGTTCCATCACGTCTATAAATATCGTGATCATTAGATCCCGCATAATACTCGAGTATCGGACGACAGTTCGCAGTCATTTCTCAATTTAAGGGCGATTGAAGCTTCTAAATGGTTGCTGTCAAGTTGGAGTTTCGACTTTTTCTTTTTAGTTGTTGAAGAATATCAATTGATTCATGTAAACCCGATACCTGAACATTTTTTCTTCAAAATGTTTGCTCCTACTTTCTTGAGTTGAAGAAAAATTACCCTTCAGTATACTTACTAGATTTCGAGAGAGCTCCGATCCATTGCATTTCCTTCCCTGCATTAGACTTCTCATTGTTGTCGGTGTAAAACATGATCAATTGTTTCTCACATGCAATCCTGAATTCCGGCGGAAGACGCGCATACATCAGCTCAACAGCTAAAACTTTACATTTCTTACCATCGCACGAAAACTAATTATTTTCGTCCTGATGAAAAAAAAAAAAGTTTCAAAAGATCACGATTTATTGAGAAAGGAGCTCATGATATAGTCCAACATTTTACTGCGAAATATCACAGTGGTATCACACGAAAAAAAAAAAAAACCGGATCTCACATCACGGGAAAAGCGCAACCTTCACAAGATTCGCAATTTCCCTCACTTCCCTGAAAGAACAGAGCAGGGCAGTAGAGCATCACAGCAGTCTCGGGCAATCATATTACCGCCGGCATAGAGAACAAAATAAACACCATCAGTCAATGCAGATAATCAACAAATAACCCCAGGATTAAAGACAGTAGAAACCAACACACGAATCAGGCAGTAGAGCTTTTTTTGTGCCAAATTGGAGTTGCGAAGTCTGACGGGCCACTTCGCAAAACAGTGATGCGCTCTTCAGCATTCCCTTCTGCGTTGTAATAAAGAAGAAGTTCTTCAATTGCTTGGTCCTCTTTCTGAAATAGGAATAGATAATATCAAGGACGGGACTCCAATAGAAGGGCAGACTCGGAATACGATTTCAAGATACGATACGTCCATATATAATGTTCAGGAAACGTAATAAGTTACATGATCTAAAACTTGGGTCTCCTTTATATGTACTGTACAGTGCTGTATTTCACTCGCCCCATTTTGGGATTCTCGAAGGACAAGCATGTGTCTGAATCTCCAAATTGTCCCGACATAAACACTTGATCGAATGTAATTTCTTACCAAAACTAATCATCAATTTCAACTTGAAAGAGAGTAATACTCAGGCGACAACCTTGTACTCAAATCTCGAACTGAGTACATAAGAAGATTATGACGACGAACCAAAACGGTTACGTGCAACGCAATGCATTACCTGAATCACCGAAAGAGGCTTCGCCTTAATTTTCTCCAGATTTTTCTTCCGAACCTCTTCCTCTTCAAGGATTTTTGAGAAGGAACTATCGTTCCCCCAACCTTCAGGAGATCTTGCCAATGCTTCTCCGGGACTTGACGATTCGTTTAAACTCAATGCGGAGGTCTTCCTCGAAATTCTTGAACGAAAAAAAGAAAAACAATTCGTGATACTGAGAACCGGACGTGAAGCATAATATGAATAAATACTCAATCGGAGAAGAAGCGGTTGGTGATTTTGCTATGCCCGACAAGGGACTGAACCAAGCATTTGCAGGTTTCGGTGGAGAGGCAACAGGTACAATTTCGTCCTCTTCACACTTTTCCGACAACTTTTTCCGCTGTTTCTGCGACATCTTAGTTTTCACTCTGATCGGCAGCGGTTCAGATTTGGCTCCCGACGCAGGTACGGCACGAACAGTTTCTCTGGTATGTACTTCATGGACTGTGCCATTCAACGAAGGAAAGTTTTCTTCATCAACCGACGATTCAACACGTGGAAGGAGCTTGAACGTTTTCGGGGTGGAGACACTCGGAGACTTCGAATCCAAAGCTGCAAGTTTTTGAGGTGTCACAGGTGCAGGCAGCCGTCTGCCGATCGGAGTCAACTTCCTTTCTTGGATTTTCTCAAAAGGGGGAGTTGAAGAAGGTTCGTCACGGACTCTCGGAGATTGAAGAGCTTCAGATTTTTCGGGTTCAGAAGAAGGTGCTTGGCTTTGACTAGATTTTCTGATCCTGGTGGGCTTTTTCTTAACAGTTTTGGTTGGCGAACGTACTTTCAGAAGTTCGAATCCACGTTCACATTCAATGCCCAAATCGCACTGCGCTAATAGATCATCTAACGTTGTTTCATTCGCAGAAGCAAATGCTTGAAGCTCCTCGGCAGTTGGCCCGTCCGAAGACGGTGTTATACGCCTCCGGCCTCTTTCTAGAACGAAGTTTTGATAGTACGTTGTAAGCTGATCCATAATAACCAAGTCAGTGACGCTGTCCAACACCCGCGATTCGAGCACAGCTGACAGATTCAAACAGACAAATTGGAAACAAGAGTTTTTAAGTTGAGCAGCACCGAACTTTTCGGCAAAATCCAGGAACTCCGCAACGTTCTTCAAAGACAGCAACGATACCATGGCTTCTTCACACATGCCTTTAAGGCGAGTGATGAGAAATTGATCCGAAACGACCAAAATGTTGGCCGCGATGGTAGGATCTTGAGCAGTGAGCAACACGTCAGGCACGGAATCCGTGTAGAGGAAATCAACAACGATTTTCAGAAGGTCAATCGGGAGAGGAATTTTGACTTTTCGCATTCCAGACTCCGACCAGGATCCACCCGAAAAGCCCAACATAGACCGAAAATATTGTAACCGGGCGGCCAGAACGCACTGATGACCGCTCAATTCTTCACCACCCTCTGCTACAATGATGATATCCTGAAAATTTATCCCACTGTTCATTTGTGAAGAATACCAAAAAATGTACATTACAGTATTTATTTTTTATAGCCACACTGAAAAATTTTGATGTCTCTAGAAACAATTCGAAAATAATGTTTCAGCTGCCAGATCATTTTGACGCAACCCTGCACTTCAATGAAACTAACAGTCAATCACTTAACTCACGAACTAAACCGCACTAATTCTGTGTAATAAAAGCATGAATAATTTCACGTACCACTAGCTCAACTTACGTAACACTAAACTGACACAACTGAACTTGTAACTTAGAATTTTTTACCATCTACCTACTAACCCAGCATCACACTAGTTTAATCCAAACCTTACATCATGCAAACCCAATGCAAAAGTTTCTAAATGAACATTTTTAAGCAGCCTTGAAAAATTATTACAAATATACTAGAAGCAGAAAACAAAACAAAAAATCTCGGGAAAAGCTATAAAGAACAATAAGCGTTTCAAAGCACCATCTTACCTTCAACTCCGGATAACTTTCACAACTGAATGAGACCGGCGACGGATTTCTGAAGTCCGACTTTTTCACAATGCGTCCACTTGGAAAACTATCCGATGAAACTTGAAAATCTAAATGGCTGAGAGTTGTTTTCAGAGACTTCCAATTCAATTTTTCAGCCACTTCGTTCATCATTGCGAGAGGATTTACAATCGGTAAGGACATCTTCATAGTTTCTTCATCATCAGCTTCAATCCTCTTTGTACGATCCTTCGCCTTATTTTTCTTTTTCTTCGATTTGTTGACGGGAGCTTTTGGGAAGATGATGAACTTCTCAGCATAACCATCAGCTGGAATTATAAACCTGTAAATCGGAAAACGACATGGATTAAATCCTTTTTCACGAATCTTAAGATTTTGAAAAACTCACGGACACTCTTGCTCTAACATCAAATCACAAGTTCCGGTGTAAACGTAGATCAAAAATTGTTTGATGACAAACGGATGGATGCCAGCAAATATTTCTGTATCCACAGTTGGAATACCAATCGCATCTTCCCGAAAACCGAAGTCCTGAAAGTCGGCATCCTCGAATGGCGATGAATATCCGAACATCGAAACGACTGGATCAGTTTGTTTGGTCTCAAGTTTCAACGGAACAATGTTGGGATCTGGAGGGGCATGCAGCTTGTTGAAGAAGAAACACCTCGAACGCAGGACAAACCAGTTCGCGTGGTAGCATTCTCCATTGACTGGGAGAAAACACATTTATAAGATATTTAGATACATATAATGTAGCACATGCAATTGTGAAGCTCTCGGATTTTTCCTCACTTAAATTTTTTTTTATATTTACTGCACAATAAGTGAAAACTTTCCAGTTCCAGTGAGAGTTCTCCATTCACGTCACAAGCTGTTATATCACATATTTTCATTTCGGAACGTCGGACAAAAACCTTCATAACTTTTCTGCTTAACGTGCTATACACAAGGAAAAACCTCAAAATCGCCCGGAAGATGGATCAGAAAATTGAGAGTGGAATGAAAGCTTTCACTTTGTCCATAATATGTAAGAATTATAGCCTGGCCTCACCACGATTTTTTTTTATATTTACTGCACAATAAGTGAAAACTTTCCAGTTCCAGTGAGAGTTCTCCATTCACGTCACAAGCTGTTATATCACATATTTTCATTTCGGAACGTCGGACAAAAACCTTCATAACTCGGAACGAAAGCGTCAAAGATAAATGCAACATAAAACAAAATGCATTATTCAGACCACGGAAAATATTGAATACCATGAGCATTCAAAATACTTACTCGTAGAATGACGTCACTAATCTGCCCAAGAGACAAGATATCGTCGAAAAAATTCCTCCAATCTTCGACGGTCGTTGAGTCTGGAGTAACTGGTAAGTCATAAAGAGCATCTTTCGGGTTGGCTTGCAATGTTGCGTAATTTTTTCCCTGTCTCGAGCAATCCATAAAGTTGAAACATCTTACTCAGCATAACTATGAACATGACACAAACCTTCGGATCAGCGGCTAATGAAACAGCACGCCAAATGCCAGGTACACGATTCAGTTTGACCACTTCGGGAGGATATTGATTTATTCTGTCATCAACACTCCCCAGCTTTCCACCCATCACTCTTTTGTAAGATGACTTGAATTTAGGATCGAATCCTGCGGTTTTTGTCACTGGCTCGTCCGAGATGAGGCCCGTGAACACGCGTCCACATTTGGTCACAATACCAAGTCCTGCTTTAGTCAACACAGCATCCGCTACAGTTAATTGCTGCGGAGCACTCAAAATCACCCTGCAAAAGAGAGAATATACTGACACGCGATCGCTCCAAAAAATTCATTAAAATGAATTAGAGCAATCAAAATAACGCGGCTCATCACCTCTTCAAGTTGTTGTGAGCTCCTCTCCAGAGCAGCAAACGATCACCAGTCGTAAGTATGCAAATCATCAACTCAGATCCGATCTTTTCGATCAAACCGAGGTTCTCTGCTCCCTTAGAATCCAAATTCCCACCGACAACGCTAATTTTCAAATCTCCTGCCAACCTGGAAGACAGGAAAGTCGGTCATGCATATTGCATTAACAAAATTCATTTTTGTTAGATACGTAGTGACTTGTCAACGACACAAGAGTTGTCAATTAATGAGAGGGTAGTTTTGACTTCCGGAACGAGAAAATTATATGGCACATATTTTTCTCGCATAAGTCCTCGCTGTGATTGACAAATTAAAAAAGGGAATTGAAACACCATTTTGTGTGGCCAAGGGCCACACAAAATGCAGAGGTGAAGGGTCTTGTGCGCAATATTTTTTGAGGTTCCAACTTTATAGCTGGAAAGTTTCAAACTTTCCATCAGAATTTTCAGTGTTATGCATTGAATCCCATGCATAGCCTAATAGAATTTTCGAAGGGTGGGGCACCATTCCGGTTTTCAAATTCATCTTTGAATATTTATTTTGAATTGTGGTACCTGCCATCTTCAAAATTATAGGGAACCGACTGCGGGATGGATGAATAGCCTCAGCGGGCCAAATCGTTTGTTTTCAAGATTTGAACAATTTAATGATTGTTTTCTCTAGTCTAACAACTTTTGATATGCACTTGGGTCATCACCAAGCAAAAAAAAAAATCGACAATGTGATCTTCCCATGCACATCAATGATTATTTCTTACTTTGATGCCACTTTCCGACATTGATATTCATGGAGGACGAAAACGTCACAAGTTCCGGTGGAATTCCTCTTCACAGTGATCACAGTGCTTCCTTCTGATGCGGCTAATCCAACAATGTGACCATCAGAACCCAAATCTAAAGCTGTAACTTTTCTCGGAGTCCAGAGAATCTTTTCCTTATCTAGTTTTGCATGCCCGAGTTGTCCTCCATTCAGCCCGAAGGTGAAAACACCATCCCTGGAGCAGAACACGCTGTGAAAATGACCCACAGCGAGAAGAATAGTACCTCGGGTAGTGTCAAAGCCGCCTTTTTGCAATTTGAACCATGGAAGAGGTTTCGGGGCATCGATTTCAGGGACTAAAGGGTGACCCAATTGTCCATGTTGATTCGATCCACAAGAGAGAACAATTCCATTTTCAAGCAGGAAAGCGGAATGATTCGCAGCTGCTGCTACCATGACTACTGAGGAATCATGGTGAACCGAAACTTGTCGGGGTTCTAGCTGGGGTTGGTTGCTGTTCAAGCCAAGACGACCGCCGTTCCCATGACCGCAAGCATATACTTTCCCATTCGAGTCCAGGAAAAGTGAATGAAATTTATCCATCGAAGCCTATATTCAACACCAAAAATAAAAATAATAAAGACTGAAGTCAAGGGATTACGAAAAGTTGGTAAGTTGGATCGGGTACAGTATTTCTAAAGGTGCGCAAGGATCCTAATGATATGTGTAGAGGCGCGGATATATTTTGCGTGCGATCACGTGCTAGTAGGAATGCTGGCACGCAATTCCGCTGGACACGAGCCAAGAACGTGCTGAATGCTTTTGGACTTCCTGAAGCACGTGATTCCAGCGATTCATACTGCACGTCCGAAAATATGAGATTGACATTTTTGTTTAATATGAGATGAGTTATGAAAAGGCGTGATTAAAGGGGCAGAAATCCGCGAACTACTACAACAGAAATACGCTTAGTGTATGTACACAATAATGCGTTAAATCCAGTGTTCAACAAAATTTCAACTAGAATTTTACCGCGAAAAAATTTGTCAAAGGAAAGAAAAAGGGAACAGACGGGAAAATTTCCGAACAAGAAAAATTTTGCGCATATTCGGAAGGAACACAAGCCGAGGTTAATCGAATACTAAACTAAAATTACGAAACCTTCAGAAGTACAATGCTCAAGTTTATTTGATCTTCGGAAAATAAAAGGAATCGTGGAGCACTGACATCGAAATACGTAGTAAGCTTAATTTTCATAAGGTTAATTTTTCGCTTGCACAGGAATTCAAAAATTCTAGGGACTTCCATATCACGTGAGTGTGATAGCTCTTCAGAAGATTTAAATCACAGTTTCTGAGGTTGAATTTGTCAAGATTCTGATTAATGCAGAGCTTGACTAGGAAACAAAATTATTTACCTGCTTGATGACGATGTTATTCTTCCGGAAGAATTCCAGAACATCCGGCAAAGCTCTTGTCTGGTCATGGCCGATGCCCAAGTTATAATTACTATTGGTGCCCCACACGTATAATTCACAGGGATTCGATGGGTTCAAATCAACGATCAACGGACGATCCAACAGAGCTAGCTCGAATGCTGTTAATCCTTCTTGATCCAAGGAATTGGGGTTGCAGCCCAGCTTCAGAAGCTCTACAGCACAGTTGATCTGTCCATAGAACACACTCCGGTGTAAGGCAGTGTAACCGGACTCGAGGTCTTTTACATTGGTCCTAGCTCCACGGAGACGAGCCAGCCAAGAAACTATCTTCCGACGACCACAGGAGGCAGCCACGTGAAGGACATTCCGACCACCGTAGTCCCAAACGTTGACGAAGTTTCGGCAAGTCGCAGGCAACGCAGCCTGGATTTCCGAATCATTGCCACGAATCACAGCCGCTGTGCACCAGGCGCCGTGCTGACGAGACTTGCAGATGTCTCTGCAATCCGGTTCCCATTTCGACTTCTGAAAGATTCAACAAGAGAATACACAGTTGAAATAGTCAAGGGAAAAGCGCAGCAGCAAAGACGTGTTTTCTCAATTATTAGTCATTCCCGGATGCCGGAATCATACTGTACGAGGGTTGTTCGAGTTATGTGTGGAACTTAATATTTAATACGACGTCAGCCAACTGAAATCTGCCCTCTGGTGTAGAGAATCATACTGCGTAGTTATTTATTGTTTCTGATTTGTTGCCCACAACTGTTGCGCTTTTTCGATCATGTTCCAGGAGAATTGGCAGCGCATTCCAGTTTATTTACTTGTTCAACTTACTTTGACAAAAAGGAAGACAGGTACAATTCAATAAATATTACAAAACCGTATTTATGATCTCGCTACACAGCTGAATAGCTTTTCAGTAGGCTGACAGTAATTCAATTAAAAATTCTACGTGAAACTCAGACAAACCTCACATTGCTTCAAGGTAAATTTTTAGATTAATCTAATTCGATTTACGAATGCGCCTACCATTCGTTTACCAACTTTGAACACATAATCGCAGAAATCCAACTCACGTCTGACATATCGCTTCAATAATCCTAACTGACGGAGCTCAGCGTCCCGCACACAAAGAAAATGCACGTTCTTACATGCTTATCTTCCTGCGAATGAAAAAAATTATACAATTGTCAAACTGAAACACCAGAATAAGAAAGTGAGGTCACTCTAGGATGTTTTACAATTTGTGCAGAAATATTCGGGTACCACGACACCTTCAATCAACATAATCACTTCGTACATCACATGTTTACTGCGGACGGATTAATGGTTTGAACACAACATTCGGACCAGAATTGTTCTAGAGTTCTCAGCAAGGTGTAATTGGATACATTTCCGTGCATTCGAATATCTTCAAAATGTGCAATTTTCTTCGATGGATCACCAATCTCCAGCCTTGCTTTCGTCTGGTTCATCAGGTAAAGCAGGAGGTATTTCGAGATCTGATTCCGCTATTGTGGCCGACAAGTTTCGCCGAACGCCAGAAGAAATTCGGCCTTTCGCAGAACCAAGTCTGGTGGCTTTCGGGACTGAAGCTTCCTGGTCATCGGTACCATCCCGATCAAAAGCTTCCAACATAAACGGATTCGCTTCTTTTCCCGATTTAACTTTCAAATCATTTGAAACCCGACCACCTTTCTGCAATTTATCAAAAACTGCGGCAAGGTGTTTCTTCAACTTCGGCAAGTCTTTCAAATCAAATTTAGAATTGCCTTGAACCCCTGCGCTGGCTACAAGCGCAGACACACTTTCGAGGCCTTGTTTTGCAGTTACACCCGTTTTGTTCAATTGCGTTTTTAGCAAATGAACCAGAGTCGTATCAGTGAGAGCTTCCCATGCTTGACTCCCACCGGCTCGCATTGGAGGGACGATCGCCGAGATGAGAATGCGATATTCATCCTCATCCATCCGAGTCATGATTTTCACGAGAAGAAGCAGAAGATTCAAACAGCAAGCTAAACGACTTATGCACTGATAGACGCGATTTTCTTGCATGCGAACGTCCTTTTCCAATTCCACAATCTGTTGAAATGTTCCTTCTAAAATTGAATCCAAATTCGTCAGAGGAACTGGTGTCTTTTCTCGCAGCTGAATCAAAAGCCTTCTTTGAATAGCTCTGAACTGACCGGCTCTCTGGCCCAGTGTTGCTTTACTGGCTTCAAATCGCATTTTTGCTTCAAAATGTGCGTCCATCTCCAAATAGACTTCGTGCAACGGCAACGTCGAAGCAAAAGAACAAACGTCTTCCTTCTGCGATGCGAACTTAGCTTCTACGCGAGAAACGAGCACGTCAACCAACAGCCAAAGGGCAGGAAGGTCGTCGGACTGAAGTCGATATTTCTGAGAATTCTTTGACGCCAGAACGGTTACCGTGGGACCGCAGAAAAACTGGAACGCAAACGCAGTTGCACTGCTTCCCTCAACCACTTCGAATTCATTGAAAATCGCGCACAAATTTACAAATGTTTGGCTGGTAGCTAAAGTGATTTTATAGTCAGCTTCACGAACAGGACAAACAGCTTTGCCAACGAGAGTCAAGGGGAGTTTCATCTTCGAACGTTCTACACGGGGAGCGGAGCCTGACGAATACGTGACGACTATCGTTGCTTCCATTGAACTAGGCAAGAAGGCGTTGCATTGGTAGAAATCAACTTCTGTCATCCATTCGTCCTTCAAACTAGGAATGGCAAAAACTTCTTTGGAAACTGCGAGCGGACGCGGAACATCAATCGCGAGTCGCACTGAATTCAACGGTAATGGAGAAGACAAAGTTATTTTAGCGCCAATCATGACGCCATCTTCAATCGCAGTTTCGTACTGACAAACGCAAATTTCATTCAGGATGCTCCACGTCGCGAACAATTCTTTCTCTTTGCGGTTAGACAGCAGTTGTCCATGCGTCGATTTACTAGCATCCCGGATGGCTTTGTGCAATTCCTTCAACTCCTCGTCTGCAGAACCGTAATCAATATCACGGGTATCCAATGCAGGCGCAACAAAAAGAGATGGATCTGTTCCCAAGTAGCAGCAAACACAACAACCGACATCTGAGACTGCGACTATGCTTCCTCTTAGTCCACTGAAGTCTCCTCTAGTAATTGCGATGGGGGTGAAGGGTAGCTGACACATCCACTTCAAAACGTTTTCTTTATAGACCAGCAGGGTTTGCGTGACCGCAGATGCAACTAGTGTCATTACGGTGTCCTCATAGTCGTGGGCATACAAAGTGAAGGCGATCGGTGCATACTCAAAGGACTTCGCAAATCTAAGAACACCGTAATCTTCAATTGCATACAAGGAACGATCGCATAGAGCTACAATTACAGTTTTTGCCTCAAACTCGACCAGCTTGAGGTCTAAAACTTGCTCTCCGAAATTATACACCCAGTCCGCGTTGAGTCGCTTGGCGGCTAGAACTTCTGGGTTGTACAGACTGGTAGGAATTGCAAGAGATTTGTACTTGTAACATTCTATTCCAAAGTCGGACGAAGCCACGACGAATGCATCAATCGTGTTCAGGTAGACAATCGGGCCAGGGAGAAGGAAATTTGGTAAAAAGCGTGAGAACGCATGCGTTTCTTGTTCGAACACCGTCAGCGTACCGTCGAGAGACAAAACGCAAAGAAAATCCTTTCCTTTCACCCCACCGAATGGCCCATGCGTAAATGTAAAGGCATTCCTATCCAGATTATGCTGATAGCTAAGGCTCAAGGTATACTGTTTCCCATACGCTACGTTTCCGTCAGCAGGCATTACGAAGTAAACGCAGACTTTTCTCGGATGAAGAACGGCCAAGCAGGATTTATCCACCGCAGCTGAAAATTTTCCGAAAGCTACTTTCAAAACTGGAGCATCAAGAATGGTTTCAAGGATGATTTCGTCCGGCGAGGGAAGTACATCCGCATCGTCGCCGGTGCGCCATGAAGGTCCGAGGATTGCCAGCGAACCTTGGAATCCTCCAACGATCACACGCTGATGTCCATTCCCATTATTGTCGATGTTTGCCACCAACACGCTGTCTGGTCCGAATTCCTCCTCTGACCCGACATGGACTGTGAGCCATTCCCGTGCTTTGAAAATTGACATCGGCTCATTTGAATCTGAAAAAAAAACTTCTCTCAATAACTCTCACATTTGAGGCCACGGAATCACACGGGAACAGGACACAAAACCTAATGAATTGTCAGATTCGAGATAAGGAGCAATCGAAACATAGAAAACGTGATATAGTTTCACAAGCATTTTCAACAGAAAAAAATTTGTGCGCCACGAAACGTCGGCAGCTACAATTGAATAATCAGCAAACTAATGGTTCCTAGAAAAAAAAAAAACAACCGAAATTCTTTGGTTTGCGCATCTGAGGAAAAAATAACCAAACTCATTGAAATTATTTTCTCAATCAAAATGAAAAAGCCTTCCATCAAAACTTCAACAATATTATCTATAAAATTTGCAGCTTAATTTGATATATCACAGTAATTTCCATAATCAGTGAAAACTTGATTTCCATTTTCTGAAAACCAGTTGAAATGTTACACAAATTGTCTTCTTTGCAGGCTTCACTACTTGTAATTGCATTTTTTTACCATCTCTTTATTTAAATGTTGATATGGACGCATGAAGTTGTTCTGTAGAGCGTCAGTGATACGGTATACACTACTGCACTAAGTATCAAAATCTCTCGTGGAATCCGGATTTTACATAATGCAGAAGAATGCATCGACTACTAGCGATAAACGCGATTCCCGCGTATTCAAAGAGTTCCAAGCAGGAACGAAGGAACAGCAATAAAAGTACTGTAAAATCAAAGCAACAAACCTGTGATTTGATCAGCTGACTGCCCGAATCACTCGGGAAACGTAACACCACTTGTCACACACAACTTCAGTATTATAAAAGAGCTCTGGAAATCACGGAACATTATAGTACTTGACGAAAGGAGAAAAATCGGAACGAACTTTGAACGTGAAACGGACTAATGCATCAGAGACAGTGTATATTTTAGGAAACGATGCTCATTTAGATTTAATCATCTTCTTCTTCTTCAATGCTTTTGCGGCAAGACGACTTTTTCGAAATTTTTTCTTTCTCTCCGAAGACACCCAGGCAGGGTATGCACCATTCTTTTTCATGACGCGTTTATTCTTGAGTTTGCACGTGTCGATTTCCATCGTCTGTTCCGAGTCTTTCGACTGATCGGCATCCATTTTCAAATTCTTTTCTTCCAGTTCTTCCGCAACTCTTTGATAATACCTCGGGTGATTCACAAGTAGACCTTCATAAACGAGGAGGTACGTAAATTTCTTGCACTTCAACCTGGAATATCACAGCTTACCGTTCGGGATCGTAACTGCCCCATTCTTTTCCTCAATCGATGCTTTCGCTGTCAAAGCTTTCAACTTCTGTAGTTCTTTCTTAGCGTTGCGCTTTCGCTTGATCCCTTGCAAGCGCTTGAACTGCTTACTATGAGCGCTTCGAGCCATCCTCTGAAAATAATACGATTTCATTGAGCATAAATACGATCACACTTTAAATCTTATTTCTTAGCGTTGCGCTTTCGCTTGATCCCTTGCAAGCGCTTGAACTGCTTACTATGAGCGCTTCGAGCCATCCTCTGAAAATAATACGATTCCATTGAGCATAAATACGATCACACTTTAAATCTTATTAAAATATCAACGATTCCGAGGAACTGAAGACTTTATTGCACAGACTGCCGAAATACAAGCGTGGCAAACTGAATAACGACGGCAGAAACTACAGCATTTATCCACAACTGAACGAAGAAATGCAGTCTAGCTTCAAATTATTCGAAAAGAACGGGCGATCCGAACTTGAACACGGAATAACGGCAATTAGTGAATTTCATAGACATCTTCCATGGCCAACTCTGGTTTGTCATAACCCAGCTCTTCTGGTGTACTAATACCCAAGGTGTCGAGCGTGGGGCGTATTTCCTACGGATAAAACAACACTCCATCAATCCAAAATTCAACGATATAGAAGAGGTTCTTTACCTGAATAACATACGGGTAGATTTCGTTGACGCGATTACCGCACTTGTTTCTTACGGACTCGAGTATCCTCACGCATAAGGCGAAATCGTTCACCCTCCTACAAGCCTGCAGAGCAGCTGAAATGATCCGGGGCTCCGGAACAAGATCCTCGGATAGCAAATCGTGCATCGCCTAGGAACATGACGGATTTTAACGCCCAGTAGTTTGAAACGTTCATTTCGCGCGGCAACACACCTTTCGGATTTCCCATCCATCGATATCCTTACGATTGAAATATGATTCGAACCGGGCGTCGAACTCTTCGTCGGTCTCGTGCGTGGAGGCGGACATGGAACGTTTGCTAACCGCTGGAAATGGATACGACAAATTGCCAGTGTGGGAATCGTTCTCGAAGTAGAAGGAACATGAAATCCAAGAACAGTCTCAGTTACCTTGAACAGCGACCGGTAAACATTTCACATACTGTGTCGTAGCATAGGAGGCTCAAAATCATTCCCGTCGAGCCTCGTACAAACGTGCAACAATCTGTTGTTTGGCGCGCCGACATTTCTGATTTTGTATAAGCTCTTTTTGCTAGTTGCTTCAAGTGCATTACAAACAGGCAGGTTTCATATCTGGAACCGCGACACAATGTACACGCACGAATCGACCCTCCCCTACTCTGAAGACAAGTCGTGATCAAGTCAGTACGGCTGGAGTTCACGGTTACGACAGCATCACAGGAACATATCACATGGCAATCCGAGTGGCTATACGCTACTGTGGTGGGAAAGTTGTACAGAAGGCAAATCTCACGGTTTGCCTCACGGGTAGCACTCACATTTAATGATCTTCATTTAATGATAATTTGTAGTACAGTACTGTACAGCCCATTCGGAGAAAATTCAGATCAATCATTTCGCCGTGGTTATACACTGAACGCGCATTTCCGGCTGGAAACCAAGTCATTGCGGGTTTGTCATTTTTTTTCTTCATTTCGCTCTGGTACAGTGACCTCGAGAAGGGTAAGTGTGGAAGTTACGTAAGTCTCTTCAAGTTTGTTTTGAATCAGGTGAGGAATTGCCGCTAATTGATGCAATGAATCAAACGTGCGGAGAAAGAGTGTCAACTTTCCCTCGAATTCCGCAGAATGAAGCGTCGCGTAAGTGTTCAATTCGGGAAAACCCACCCCTGATTCGGAATAGATCCGAGGTCATGCCTGCAGAATTTGTCAGAAAGCGTTCCCGATTTTCTAGAAGCGTGACGGGTTATGCTTTAATGGATTGTGCTGAAAGCAGGTGGAAATGTGCAACGGAGAAATGCTACGGGGACCGCGTTTATCTATAGGATCTTGGTGCTCGACTGCGCGAGTGAGATGTGTTCATGTGATTTTCAGACATTTTGGCCAGGATGGTTTTCTTGACTGTGTAATGAGATTCGAAAATTCTAAATGGCTTTTGATCTTTCACATCAAAGTTTGGAATTTATGTGAGAATCTAGCATTAAACGTTATTACGTTCAACAGATAGAACGCTGTCCAACACCCGCGATTCGAGCACAGCTGACAGATTCAAACAGACAAATTGGAAACAAGAGTTTTTAAGTTGAGCAGCACCGAACTTTTCGGCAAAATCCAGGAACTCCGCAACGTTCTTCA